TAGTGGGCATGCGGCAGTGGCAGGAGAGAACGAGGACCAGTCTCCAACCACTCAGACGTGTTGAAGATACCTAGTGACCAGGCCAGGGCTGGGCAAGCACTGACTGCCCAGCAGCATCTTTACCAAAGGTCTCCACAAGCTTTCCCAGAGTGTAGCACAGGAGATGGCTGCCTTGGCTTTAAATTGAAGGTTCATGAGCGTCATTTGTGTCCCGTGCAGGTAGTGAACACATACACGCCAGGGAAGAAGATCTGGCTGGAAGGTGTTGGCACGACCTCAGCCGGAGGCATGAACAACCTCTCCGATTCCTATGCGGCCGGGTTCCTGTGAGTTATGCCAGCTTGCTGGTGCCAGGGCACTGCCACCCCCATGGGCTCTGCGGGCTCAGGTGCTACAAAGCCACTGCAGCCAGGAGAGGGCCAGCTCTGTGCCCAGAGACCCCACTGGTATTCCCCCTCGGTATTCCCCTGTCAGCCTGGGCACTGTTAATTTTCTCCATAACATCCCTATTACCCCTCCTCAGCTCTGCTTTCCTGTAGGCGACCCAGTCTCTGGCACACCCAGAGAAGCAGAGCACAGAGGGGACTGCTCAGGATCCCACGTGGGTACCCACAGTCTGCCCACAGGGCACGGGTGTGGAAGGGGAGGTGAGATCCAGGCATGCCAGCTCCAGGAGCCAGGGTTGGCATCCCGACAGGCTTGCCTCGCTGGGCAGCTCAGAATCGCCCAGGCCTCCTCCCGCTCTGCATTTTTGTTTCAGGCTGCAGCCACATGTCCTTGCATGCATTCACTCCTGGGGCAACTGCCCAGGGAGCGCTCAGCAGGACTCTGCTCTGGAAACCATTTTGTCTCCCTCTTTGAAGCCACAACCATTCCTGGCTCCTGAGGCTTGTCTACTGGCACAGCCCAGTGGCACGGACATCCTGCTGCAAAGCCCCAGTTCTCATATTCAGAGCTGGTTGTGATCATAAAAGATGGAGGAAGATTATCTGGGCTTTGTGGGGAGGCACAGGGACATCCCTGGGATATCTGGGCTGTGGCAGGCTGCAAGGGTTGGAGTCTTTGCCCAGGGGGTGTGAACCAGGTGCCCAGGCTGCTGCCATGCTCTGGTCCCCACTACTGAGATGGTGGGTGCTGGCAGGCTGGGGGGCACCCCAGGCTTTGGGCATGGGGCTGCGATACTGGGGTGTACCCAGGGGCTCAGGCACAGTGTTGGGACATGCAAGGTGGGTACAGCTGGGGCAGAGGTGGCTGCAGTGGGAGGACAGGCATACTGGCTTGCCAGGGCAGGGATGGTGGGAGCTGGGTAAGAGCCAGCATGCGAAACCATTTGAAGGCTTCGGCTCAGGCACTGGGAGCAGGCGCCAGGTCAGGTGCACAAGAGTGATGCCATATGCCAGAGCTGGGGCTGAGGCATCCACCCACAGCGACCTGACTCTGCTCCCTCCGTCCCCAGGTGGCTCAACACGCTGGGCTTGCTGGCCAGCCGGGGCATCGATGTGGTGGTGAGGCACTCCTTCCTCGACCACGGCCACAACCACCTGGTGGACCAGAACTTCAACCCCTTGCCGGTAGGTCTGCCCAGGGTCATTGCACTGCTCATTTGCAGGGAGGTTTCTCTCCTTGTGACCTGTCCAAACTCTGCTTGAAAATGAATTTTTCCAGACCTGTTTCTTGCAGTATTAATAGGCGATGTTAGTTCATGTCAAATGCAGCACGTTGGAGGCAGATGGGAGAATGTTACCTTTGTAGCTGAAACTTCATTTAGTGCCCAGGGTCAGGAGCACAGGAGGGAGGCTGGTGCCACCGAGGGATGCCAGTGTGGACTGCAGAGTCGGAGGGAGGGATGTGGCAGGACCACGCATGGCACAGGGTGGACAGCCAGGTCGGTAGTGGTGAGCTGGACCTGGGACAGCCAGGTTGAAGCCTCAGCACCCAACTTCAAATCTTTAGAAACTGAAGTG